TCCTCTCCTCCTCCTCCTCCTCCTCCTCCTCTTCCTCCTTCTTCTTCTTCTTCTTCTTCTTCTCTCTCTCTCTCTCTCTCCCCCGCCCCAAAACATCATCCGCTGAGTTTCTGCCGCTGATGACGACAGAGACATTCCAGAATCCCCTCAAAGATGACCTGTGCTGATACACTTAATGCTATTCAATGCTCCTGTGTCCTGGACTATGGGGACAACTGTCTCATTCAGGAGCTGAGGAGCAAGAAGCTCAGGGTGGTCCCCGAACTTGGTCTTCACAGGGCTGGCTGTGGAAAAGACAGGGTCCAACTGGGTCTCCTTGGGCACGGGTGCTGAGCTGGATGCTGGGGCTCAGGGCCATGGTCTCACATAACTGCAGCCCCAAGAATCCAGCAGTATGGTCCCCTCTATGCCATGGGGCTGTGTGTTGTGAGTGTGAGGACACACAGGTTCTGATATTTCATTTTTCCTGAAGCAAAGTGCGGGTGAGCATCCCCGACACCACCTGGCTCTGGGCTCTCAGCCAAGCCAGCACCAGACATGTCGTCTCAACCTGTAGGGCCAGGGTCCTGTGTGCGCCATCCTGGAATCACCCACATTTCTGTGTGCTCCCATGACAGCTGCCCTTCATTTCCCTCATTCACTCTGTACCCCTAGTCCCATTAGCTAAGGAGCCCCATTAGCTGCTTTCTGGCTTCAGGGAAATGAGTGGGAATCCCTAAGGTGCTGACAAGCATCACAGTGGAGCGGAGAAGGTGTAGGGGAAGACAGCTCTGCCATCCCAGAGTTGCAGCAGGACCCTTCTTCAGAACTTTCTACCTTAATTCTTCCCTTTCACCGGGCTTCAAACATTTAATTTCTGCTAATTATGTCCCTATAAAGAAACTGCTCACAAATGTCTACATGGCAGCTTGATTCATAATCCCCAAAACATGAAGAACCCAGATGTCCTCCAGATGAAAGAATAAATACACTGCAGGCCACCCAGACCCTGGGATGCCTTTCAGCGCTAAATAAGTGAATGATGGAGCCACAAAAAGACACCAAGGGAAACTCAATGCATAGTCCTAAGAGAAAGATGCCATTCTGAAGAGGCTTCGCACCATGTGATTCCATCTCCGACTTCCGGAAGAGGCAAAGCTATCGGGACAGTAATGACATCAGTAGCTTCCAGAAGAATGAGCAGGTGCAGCACAGAGGACATTCAGGGCAGAGAAACTGGCGGTGGACACAGGAACTACAGAGTTATACAAAGCCAAAGAACATGTAATCCCAAGAGTGAGCCCTGAACTATGAATTTTAGTTAATAATTATGTATCATGCTGGCTCATCAGTGATAACAAATGTTTGATGTTAAAGCAAGACATCAGTGGGACAGACACTGAACGTGGGAATTCTAGGCTATGTGTCCAGTTTTCTGTAAACCAGGACTATTCTAGAAAATAAAGTCTACTAATTAAAAAAAAAAAAAAGCAGTGAGTGGTGGCGGAGAGGGGTGGAAAGTTCTACTCTGCTGAGAAATATTAACTACCACAAGGAGGAAATCAATTTAGCGAAATAACCAGTTGGCAGGCACAATGTGAGGGCTGATGCAGTGTTTTTAGCTTTAAGCCGGAAATAATGATTTCTATCAAGACAAAAAAACAAAACAAAACAAACCCCTAAATCACTCTGTTGGATCACTCTTAATTTCCGGGGGTAGGCAAGGAGAAACATCATAGAAAAGGGCAGCCCTGCCTCCCTCTCTGGGCCTTGTGCTCTACAGCCCCGGTCCTGGTGTGCCCCGTCTCAGCCCCAGGTCCTGCTGGTTGCAGCGTTGGTTGGAGCCTCTGGAAACACTTGTCCTCGATTAAAATCTCCATCAGGAGCCACTTAGCAGAGATGCCACCAAAAACCCGAAGCCCTGCTTCTTTCCTGGACTTGCTTTTTCTCACCTGTCAAGCCAATCCAGACTACAGCCATAGGAACAGAGCTACCACTGGGCATTCGTTCCAACACCTGGAAGACACCCAAATCCACTGCTGCTCACTTCCCTCATATAAAACAGTACACTCTTTGCACATAACCTATGTACTCCTCCCATAGGTTTTACTTGTAACCCTTGATACACTGTGAATGCTACATACTGTTTTACTGTATCTCTTCCATGTTCAGGATGGATACAATCTCTTCTGCCCAAGATTTTCAATTCCCAGGTAGCTGAACCCCAGGACTTCGAACCACGGCTGTGGAGGGCGACTGTGTCTTGGAGAACACGCATGACCATGGCTCCCTCCACTGCTCACAGTCCCCGGTGTGGCTGTTCCATGCAGGGGGCACCATGAGGATCTGCTCCTTAATTACACGGCTTCATACCTGCTTACAGCAACCCAGGGCTTAAGCTTGGAACTGACTTGATCCATAATTACTACAACTGCAGCTTTACCTCCAGGCAGGGCTACAAGAAGTAGTCATGTGCCTGCTTGTTTCAGTAGTTCGGTTCAACAGTTCTACGTCACTGTGTTTTCAGAAGCAAGGTCAGGGTCTGCTCTGGAATACTAATCATTTCAAAACTCTTAAAACACAGCAACACCATCTCCAGGGAAGGGAGCATGGGGAGGCCTGGCTCATGCTGGGCTGGAGCTGGGTAGAGGAAAGCACGCAGGGAAGAACAGGGGATCCCAGAGTGGACCCCTGATGTCCTGTGCTGCTGCTGACCAGGTTAAGGAGAGAAGTGATCCACACTGCCCAGGCTCCAAAGAGTCACCTGGAAATAGCTAAGACCCAGGCCTGGCTGAAGGTCACCTGTGGATGTACCTCAAGGCTCAAATCCACGCTAAGGAACCCACAGGCCTGCCTACTTGTACAGCCTGAGCGCCACTGGGACAGAATGGGCCCTGCCCTTGCAGAGTGGGCCTAGGCCCAAGGCTGATGCAGGGAAGAAGTGTGGCAGGAGAAGCATGGTTGTGACAGGGCAGGAGCCAAGTTCCTCCTGCCACTCCCTGTGCAGACACCCCAGGTCCCCTCCATCCTGATGTCTATCCTGCGCATGTTCAGACCCTCCCTTCTGGTCCTCTCCCCTGGATGTCCACATACAGTTCTGACTCCTAACATCTCAGGTATCACTGCTGCCATCAGAAAGGAGCTGGTCCCTGCTCTGATGCTGCTCATGGTATATCCAAGAGACCCAGTGACAAAGAGGCCACCGTAGCCCCATGCAGTCCATAGACAGGGATGTGCCCAGAACCTAGCAGGGGGCTGATGGGTTAGCCAGGCCTCCCACAGATACTCCATTCTTTGTGTGATTTGGAGCTATCACTGAAATCATGCGGGAGCCCACAGCAGACCTAGTGCATCACAGGAGGAGAGTGAGGCTTGCACTGCTCAGCCTGAGAGGAATGCTGTTTAGCCCAGAAGAACCCACCCGACTGGTTAGACCCCTGAGCTGCTGTGGAGTCTTTCACCTGGGCCACCCTCAGCTCCCCACAGCCACTGGCCTCTGCTGGCCAAGTTCAGCAGGTGTCCACTGTGAGGAGGAGCTCACCTGGGCAGTTGGGTCCCACCAGAGAATTGGACTACAGTATACTGGGAGGCAACTTTGGTTTTCCCAACTGGGGGCTGAGGCTGGTATCTAGTACGTAGAGGTGAGAGATGCTACTAAGCACCCCACAGTGTCCCCACACCAAAGAACCATCCAGACAGGGGCTAAAGGGTGGAGGCTGGGAAGCTTCACCATTGTGGAATCAGCAGGGCATGAATGAAGTTTCCATGGAGTACTTAAGGCCTCATGCCTAAGGAACTCAGGTCCACGGAAGGGGGAGCAAACTTGGTGTGTGACTGACACACCCCCACCACAGTGGGGGATCTGCGAGGCACTGGAGACTGGTGCACATTTGTTCATTTGCTCACCAATCATGCACCATGCTCCTACTGAATGCCAGGCACCCATGCCTGAGACGGGAACAGTGTGGTGAGCTGTACAGGAGACGGCCTGCAAGTCACAGGAGTGAGGTCATTCCCAAGGTCCAGCAGAAAGCAGGGATTGTGTACGTTTCTCAGTTTTATGTGTAACTGAACCCCAGGCTGAATTTCCACAGGTACTGAATTCCAGCCGAGACCTCTCTGACAAGGACCCACCTCCAGTCTCCAGGTCATGGAAATTGGGATCCAGGCCTCGGTCCAGCAGCTTGACCAGCTTCTCCACAGACCGATGATGAGTATGGTCCATGAACTTCTTCAGATTGGTCTAGAGGGAAAGTAACAGAACCGAAAGATCTTTCTAAGAACGATTCCCACAGGCCGGGCCAAGGGCAAGTTCTCCCCCAAGGTGCACTGGCCTCATTCACACAGCGGTCCCAGGGCCACTGTGACCTCGGGCTCCCTGAACAGCAGCTCTCTATCTCAGCAACCCCAGGGCCAAGCATGCGGTCAGCCCTTGGCCAAGGCTATGGTCCCGTCTCACATGAAGGTTTCAGGAATTCCTTACTGTTGGCCACCACTGAGCCATGGTTTGCTATTTGTATTCCTCCAAAATTCACATGTTGAAGCAAATTCCCAATGGAGGTAGGGCTTTGGGAGGCAAACAGATCATGAGGGGGGAGCCCTGACAAAGGGGATTCGGGCCCTTATAAAAGAGGCCCCAGAGGGCTCCCAGCCCCTTCCACCACATGTGGACAATAAGATGCCACCTATAAGCCAGGAAAAGACCTTCCCAGACACTGAATCTGCCACTCCCTGACCTTGCATGCGCCACACGCCAGAACGGTGAGAAGCAGATGTCTGGTTGGTAAGGTGCCCAAGGTTTTCCATTACAGCAGCAGGAACAGATTACACCATGCTGGGAGCCACAGAACGTTCCTTTGCTGCTGAAAGGATGGGTCACTGGGACCGCTATGAAAACCTGCAGCTCCCAGGACCCTCCCAGGATCTGTCCTTGGGAGCAGGACTGAGGATCTGATCTCTATAGAGAGGGGGCCATGCTGCAGAGAAAATGGGGCAGGCATTCGCTCAGCTTGACCCTTTCTGGTTACCCCAGACCACAAGGATGCCTGGGTCCAGAATGAAGGGGGCATTTGTGCCTCACAAGATCTCCCTGCCAGTCACGCGACTTTGGCAGCGAGGGGCCTTCCCTAAGCACCACCTGCTGCATCTGTTAGGAGGGTGGTGGCTCTTGTTGGTAAGCAGCCTGGCTGCTGGATCCTGACCACAAGATGCTACAGCCCTGTGATGAATCTGGTGCTTCTCACAGGCTCAGTCCTCACCCTTTGCACCTCTCTGAAACATAGATGCGAACAACAGTGGCTTCCAGCACAGACCCACACCTCCTGCTGCAGGCTGTATTTCCACCTCAATGCCTTCTGCACAGTTCAGGATTGGAACAAATGCCTCAAAACACAGCAAACCCAGGGTGCCACTTAAAACCTTCACTGCTATTTAGGGGTATTCTTTAAATTCACAAAGATAGTTTTAACTACACATCAGAGGATAATTTTTAAAATCCCAGAAGCCCTAAGATATTAGGACTCCAGGGATGAGGCAAGGGACACAGAAGAGCCTGGAGCATCTTGTGTCAGGAAGAGGTCAGGCACAAGGAGCATTAGGACTTGACAGAGGGTAGGGAGCTGGGCAGAAGGGCAGTTGCAACTTAAACACAAAAGCGAAAACGATGCTGACGTATCAGACTCCACTGAACGGAGTAAAAATCCTTGTGTCAAAAGCTGGATGTAGATGCCTGCCTCCCAGCATTCTGGGAAGCTGAGGCAGGAGGCTCACAAGTTTGAACTCAGTCGGGGAAAATTAGTGACGAAGTAAGAACCTGTCTCACAATAAAATTTAAAAGCTGACAATGTAGATCAGTGTGAAGGCTCTAAGTTCAAACCCCAGTACTGGCAACAGGCAGCATCTCTGGCTCACATGGCATCCCTGGCAAGGAGGAGGCTGTCTGTGACACCAACACCCAATCTGCCTTGCTGGATGGTACCCTGGGCACAGCGACACACAGCACGTTCAGCTGCGGACTGAGCACCCAAGGGAACATAGCCCTCTCCTCCTCCTACTCGCCTGTACATTTTTACCGTGTTGTTCATGTTAACACACCTTAATAAGGTTTGTTCTGATGTGGCAACTGTGGGGAAACTATCATCATGCTCAGCATGTGCCCCTTTCCCTCCCTCACTCCGTGTGTCCAAAGCTGTTTTTGAACTTCCCTGGAGCACCAGAGGAATTTGCAACCCTTGCCCCAGTCCCCTTGTGCCTTTGCTGCTTCCTGGATGGCTGGTTCTCTGGCAGCCTGGATGTGTCCTGAGGCCCGTCCACCTGTATACCAATCTATCCCACACTGACCTGAGTACATGGCAAGTGTTCCAAGAAGGACAGACTCCAAAGATACAACAACAGGAGAAAATCAGACAAGAATATGATCACAGCTATTCCCTGCATACCTTTGTGTGGAGCTTGGCCAGCTGCTTCTCATCCAGACTGGACTGTTTATACACCCGCTTCTTGTAGCAAAACTGGTACAGAAACAGAAAAGCAAAGACAAACAGGTAAGCACTTGATGTGGCCTTTCCCTGGACTACTTCACCGAAGAAGGGATCTCAGCAGGAAACCCAAGTATCAGATAAACTACTTGTGTTTGTTCTGCAGAGTACATGGTACCCTGGGAACCAGCTCTCCTGACTAACGAGGTGAGTCAGTCCCTAGTGTGGGAATCCACCTGCCCTAGCACATAATTATCCAGCAGGTGAGCACACGGCCTCAGACACCAGGGCCCTGTCCTGCTTTCCCCTCTGTCAGAACCTGCAGGAGCTGCCCACTCCTTAGGAGCCCACTCCGTGCTTCCCTCCACCTAGGGCTTCAGGACCCCTCTTCACTTCCTCAGAACAGCAGCACCTCCTCTGAATGGAAATCACGCTCCAGAGTCAAAGAGCCTGCTTACTGGGACTACTATACAACTCTCTCCCTTTGTTTGGGTCTTTATTAGTCACACCTCTGGTTGACATTTCTGAAGCCACTGAGAAGGACACAGGGTGAACAGCAACTCACTGTCACATAGCTAACGTGGAAGGGGGGAGTAAGTCTTTTAGGCACAAAACAATATGGTGGGGCTGGTCACACGCCTCAGCACAAGGGAGGATACGTACTCCTAGGTCCACAGACACTCACACCTCAGACCACACATCCTTTCCCTGCAAGGTTCCCAGCAAAAAGCTGGACCAAACCTGTTCCTGATGTCCTTCCTGGCTCTTCGTCTGCTGGGACGGTGCCCGAGAAAATAAACCCAAGTATCAAGAACAATTTCACGACAATGAGGATCAATTAGGGCAGCAGCCACAGCACCCATCTGGGGCATCCCACAGGCAGGCAGGCTCATCTGGGACACTGACCCCTGGACACACGACCCCTTTAGGCATCACTGCTAATGGTCCAGTTACAGCCAGGAATCTGAAGCTCAGAGAGGCTAGAGTGCTGGCTCTAAATTGCCCAGCTCTTGAGCCTAGGGCCAAACCAAGAGAGGCTCCCAGACTTCTTAGTCACCTTGCTTAGTTTTACTGTCATCATAGAAACTATCGGCTCCTAGAATGAACTGTGCCTGTTACCTAATCCAGCACCTCCTCCATAAGACTAGGACTTCGACCTTCTGGACAGGCTGGATGATTCTGCAGAGTGGCTGGTGCAGAGTAGGCTGTCAGTGAGAGCCGTTTTTGGTGAATATTCATTTTACAGATGGGCAAACCGAGGTCAGAACAACTGATGAGCTGCCCAGAACCACTCAGCTTCCAAAAGACTTCCACCTTTACCTTTCCTTCAAGCCCTCTGACACATGTTCCACAGTTATTGGATCCAAGTAACCTCAGCCTCAGAGGCCCAAAGGAACCTTGGGAAAGCCAATGAGTGTCATCTTGGTGTCAGACCTCAGAGTACTCTGTCGAGATCGGCGGGACCATTTATCCCACTTGGCACCAGCTGCAAAGTCCACACTTCCTGCCTCTCCCTGAGAAAGGCAGAACTGTTTAAGAACAGCACCCCGGTTCTGTACCACCGCGGAGACACCCACGCTTCCAGGCAGTTCCATAGCTAACCCACCACGCCTGCACTGTTGGAAACTGCGTAATCCCGCGTACAGCAGGCGAGGGGCAGAAGACAGCATACAGCTGTGTTCTCCCTGGAGGTGCACATGGGCTACTTTGTGAGGCCTACTGGGAGAGACACGGGGAATGGAGAGATGCGGCAGTTCACAAGCCCTGGTCACCCCTGGGTCAGCTGGTAGAGGGAGGGTGCCCTTCTGATTACAGCTGGGTGGCTGCTGTCCCCTTCTGTTAGTGGCACAGAGACTGAGTCAGGGAGAGTGATACAGGAAAAGTATTAGGTCTTTCTTTGTTCCCAGTTCCCAGCACAGAGCCCTCGAAGCCTAGGAACCCTGGGAGTGATGAGAGTGTCTTAGTTATGCTGGTGAGATGATTCCTTAGTCCATCAGCTTCAGGATGGGGCTGGGGGCCACAAGGATCGAGCTGTGATTATAGGATCAGATTTTCAGCTCATCCTGGACCGGGAGTGGGGGGTGATGACTCTGTCACAAACAGCTGATGATTTAATCAATCACATCTACCGGGAAAATCCCGGAAAAGTGAGGTATGAAGAGTTCCTGAGTCGGCAAAAACATCCCCATGCCAGGAGAGTGGAGCACCTCAGCTCCCCTGGCCAGCAGCTCTGAGCCGGGGACTCTTCTAGACTTTGCCTGGACACGTCTCCATCTGCTGTCCCTCTACGTCCTTTTCAGTAAGCCAGGGAGCTCTGCAGCCCGCCCTTGCCTGCTGTCAAACCTGAAGAAGGGCTTGTGGGGCCCCCATTTAGCGTCACATCTGAGCAAAGCGTGGGGAACCCACAGACCTAGGACTTGTGATTGTCACCTACAGTGGGGGATCTCACCCCAACCCCAGGGAGCAGTGTCAGAATTGAATTAACTATGGGTACCAAGCTGCTGTCTATACAACTGGAGCAGTGGGGCCGGGATAGATACCGAGTATTTGGTGTCAGGAGGGAGAAAGAGAAGCCCAAAGCCCTTGGGCTGGCACTGAGCAAGGCCACTCTACATCCCCAGGACTCATGAGTCCTGGTGACAGGAGCTTCGACAGACCCTTCTACCAAGACCTCTTCCCAAAAGATTTGTTAAAATCTACAGCAAGAAAACAAACATATAAAAATTACACAACACTGGGCAATTCACAGCAAAATTAGGTATAGCCTCATGATCCCAAACAAATATTTTTATTTGGGGTGATTCCCAATCCAAGGCATATCAAGAGGCTGGACAAGGAGCTTCCCTCCACTACCCGCCCAGCAGCTGGTACCTCCAGAGATGGGACTCCCGGCCCCGCAGGCTGGGGGTACTCGCGCAGCAGCCGCTCTTCGTCCAGGAACTTGCCGTCACGCCCATTGCTGGCTGGCTGGAAGAGCCCGTAGTTCAGAACATCCTTCAGTCCTTGATTCAGGGTGCACAGGATCCGTTGCTTGGCCACCCACACTGTGGCATCCGGGTTAAAGCGGATGCACTTCTGCAGGGAAGGAAGAAATATGGGATCAGGGAAGCAGTAGGACCCTGGAGCCACCCACCAAGCATAGGGCAAATTCCAAGCTGTTTCTGTTCCTTCCCATTAGGTATTCTGTGCGAACCTTGGGACCCCAAGGCTTTGACAGCTGCAAAAGAAAGTCTGCCTGTCACTTGGACAAAGACTTTCAGTAAATATAAGAGGAAAGTCAAGATTGAAGGGTTGGTCTCTGGTCCTCACTCTCACCCTGGACTCAATGCCAGCACCCCACCACCTGCTTGTGAATAACCACCTACAGCCTCAGAGCAGAAAATGCCACACCATAGGGCCTTCCTAACAATGCTGCAGTGTTTACCGAAGCACACCCTCAATCCCCTGCCTACTCAGCAGGGTCCAACTCAGCAGCTGTGGGGCCCCCCAGGCCCTGTGCTGTTTACAACTTTGTTACAAGCTTTCCCTGCTGGTCCTGAATACAGACTGAGAATCACAATTCAGGTACAATCTTCCCTTAGTACCAGGACCGCCCACCCCCCAGATACCAAATTCTGAGGACGTCCTCATCTTTTATATAAAATGGAGGTGTAAAATTTGTGTCTAGCTACACATTCCTCCCATATACTTTAAATCATCACTAGATTACTTATAATATGTAATGCCATGTAAATGCCCTGCAAAAACTTGTTACCTTGCATTGCTTAAGGGATGCTGTTATGAGAAAAAAAAGTCTGTATTTTCAGCACAGATGAATTTCTTTTTCTGAATATTTTCAGTTTGAGGCTGGTTCAATCCATACACAAAACCCACAGATAGTTAAACCACTGCATAGTACAACATGACCTAATTTCCCCATGGATTGCTCCCTGACACTTCAGACACTGGTGGACACCTTGTCTTCTTGCCTCACTGATGGGAGAACTTGCAGCACAAGGGTCTGCATCCCCCCTACCTGGCTTTGAGCAAAAAAACCTTAAAAATACACATCTCACCCTTGCCCAGGCTGAAGAAGGGCACTATAAGAGATCATGTGTTGGAAACTCAAGTAATTTACTGCCAGTGCTAATTTTGTGTTGGTCGGGCTTCTAAACCAATCAGGCACATTTCAGAACACAACAGCTCCCTGAGAAGTGACTGATGACAGTGGCTCACATCTCCAGGAACTCACAGTGGGGCAGGAGAAGCACCCAGGCAGGCTGGGCCCATCTAACCAAGACAGCTGAGTTTTGTTGAGTTAAAACCATGCTTTACTATACAGCGAGTAGGAAGACATTGGATTTTGTTTTCTCACTGCAAAGTCACCCAGGAAAACAAAAAGTTTCACTAAACCCAAGGATGGAGCAATTCTCCACTGGGCATTGCTTGGTAGTATCTCAGGGACCAGGACACCGAGGCCCCATGGCTGTCTCAGTGGTCAGCCATAGGGGCAGATTCCTGTGATGGGTTAAGTAATCCGCTGTCCATCATGAGAGCAGCTCTTGCAGACAACCTATCTGGCTACTCAGGGAACATGACACTGTGCCAGTGAATGAGCCTCCAGCCCCTCTCCAGTGCCATAGGCTGAACTGCATGTGACCTTCCAAACTCTCTAGGTAAAGGCCAATAGGGAGACTTTTGTCACAAGTCTTGCCCCATCCTCAGGGGGTGAGAACTCTTTGGAAATCCCAGCATAACAAAGGTGTGATATCCGATATGGCCTGGTGGGGCCACCTGGAACCCATCCACTTCGGAATCAGGAATCATTTTTGGCCTCAGGTTCCAGTGACAAGGTCTTCTCGACTCAGGTTCCCTTAGATACCGACAGCGACAGAAACTGAGTACCCCCCTCCCCGGCAGCTGGCATGTGCTGGAGAAGCGTGGGGCTGAGCCACCTCCCAGGGGCCTTGTCACTGTGCTAACTAATGTCCACAGTCACTTGGTGGGCAGGTCTAGGGGTGTCGAGTGTGCCCAAGAACCATCCCTGCAAAGCAAAGGACCAGCCTGCTTGGAAAAGCACCAAGAGTCCCTGCAGAGAAATTTCTGGGAGAGGAGAAGCTCAGAGGTCATAATGGCCCAGGTCTGCATCCCAACCATGCACACTGACCTCGTGCTCCTGGGTGAAACTGCCAGCCCAGCAGTCCCTCTGCTTCCTTGGTGAGAAGCATGGCCTTGACTTACCCTGTAGCCAGGTTTGGTGTTGAGGGTTGAACTGTCCCCCTGGGGACACCCCTTTCACCCTGAGAGTGAAATCTACTAGAAATGCGATATTTATAGATGGGATCACTAAAATGAGACTGACCAAAGCAGGGTGGGCCTAACACAAAGACCAAGTCCTCATTCAAGTGGAAATGTGGACACAGCAGCAGTGCTCAGAGGGGGGTCAAGAGAAGATGCAGGCAGAGTCAGGTGTGCTCCTATTACAAGGCAGGAAACAAAGATGGCCAGCAACCCCCAGAAGCTGGAGAGAGCCCTGGGACAGATCCTCCCTCCTGGCATCTGGAGAATACACCTTGATCTTGGACTTCCAGCCCCAGATGTATGAGACAACATATGTCTCTTGGTTAAGCCAGAGTATTTGATTATGGCCCCCAGGAACTTACCAATGGGTAAAGTACCTGCTGCTGATCGCAGGAGCAGAAAGCTGCAGCCGCTTGTCTCTGAGCTGGGAGCTCAGTTGGCTGAGGGCCCAGTGCCTAGGGGCCCCTCCTTCCTTATGTGATGAGCATTGGCACCTGTCACACCAGGCGCAGAGAAAGTCCAGAAGCTCAGGGCCACTCTGGACAAGTCCTGTGTCACCGCTTACTCACTCATTACTGCCCACTTTACCAGCACCTGGTCAGGCAAATCCCAATTGCAAGAACAGTCCCTACACATCTCAGGTGATAAGATACTTCTAGAATGAATGGATGGATGGATGAATGAATGCATAGGTGTCAGGACCCAGAGAAACAATAATGATCAAACCAGTCCTACACCACTACTTATAGTAGTGAAAGCCACAACTGTCTCCTATCAAGGCAAAGGCAAATATAAATGCGGGCAACCAGAGGAGGCAGCAGGTGCTGCTGCTGGCAGGGCATGCTCACCAGATGTCTGTCCAGTCACACAAAGGACTGTGTAACTTGGGGTAAGAATTCCAGGTGGGGGACCCACGTGAGGAAAGGTGGGGAGGCAAATGAAAAACGGAGATGTGCCTGGCAGGTTTCCTCGTCCTACCATTACCAACAAGATGCTCAGTGAAGGAACACTCCTGTGTCTCCTCCCACCCCCTGCAGCCCTGAGATGGCTGGTCCCTTACAATGTGTCAGAGATGTCCCCAAAGGGACTGCTGGAAGGCTTGGAGAGACAGCAGAGACCAGCCAGGCATTAGAAGCCCCAGCCTCCGCTAGTCAAGGGATCACCTGAGGAAACTCCTCTGGCCTCCTCAAGCCTTCGCTGGTCTTCTCCATGGGGGTCCTGGATCAGTTCTGTCAGGAGTGGGAAGAGGACATGAAGGTGCCCAGGGATCTCACTCCATGGGGGGCTCAGGTTCTAGTGGGCAACGATAATGAAGATGTGGTGATGGTGACGATTGGGATCATGGTGATGGTAATGGTGACGGCGGCGGTGGTGATGATGGTGATGGGTGATGATAAATATGATGATGACAACAGTGATGGTGGTGACACCGTGACAGGGCCATGGTTAACACTAAATCCTAACAAATCGGAACTTGTACTAACTTATTCATGTTCACCATAACCATAAATCATATTGTTGTTATAATATTATAAGGAGCCTGAGCCTCAGAGCCCGAATGACACACATCTAGGAAGTAAGCCCAAATTCAATCTTCCCAGATCCTCAGACATCACCAATCAATGTGATCCAGATCCTCAGACATCACCAATCAATGTGTTATATTCCTCTCTAGTCACACTCCATCAACCGCAGAGCAGGCGAAACATTGTGGCAGTGGCTGAGAAAACTGAGGAGGGTTTTATCTTCAGGTTGCAGAAGTACTGCCCTTTTCTCTTTACTGGTAAATCGGGCCTAATGTTGAATATTTACACTCCCAGGGGACCTAGCTTAATTCCCATAACAAGGGACAAGATTTGGGAGATCAATTTTTTTTCCAAAGAAGTAAAATCTAGTCTCCAAAGCACCAGTGGCATTTAAAGACAAAAATGAAGTAACAAAGGATGAGGTGCACCGGTGGTCGGACAAGACATATCTGGCACAGTACTGCAGATGGCTTCTGTGTCAGCATCTCTCCTGCAGTCACAGAAGACAGTCTTACAGCACAGGGTCCCTCAGCTAAGCACTGGGCCCTGAGTTACAGGAACAAAAGAAAACTCTTCGAAGTACAAGTAACACTTGGAAAAAGACTTTTACCCCAGCAAAAATTTACAAGATCAAAATAAACCTTGGAATACGCTCCTAGGCCCAGCAGCAGTCAGGTGTACCTCTAACCAGGCAGCTCTATACAAAGGTTCACGCTAACTGTAAAACTCGGTGCTTAGAACAGATCAGCACAGAGGAACCGGACACCAGGTGCCAAATGAGTATCTGGAGAATCAGTCGCCTGCTGATGACACCAAGTCCAACACAGGATCCTCTCCCAAGGCAGGACCCTCCCTACATCCTCCCTGGCTTCCTGCTATCCCACCATCCTTGGGCCTTGCTCCTAGAATCAACAGCAGGACCAGCACTGGCTACTGAGACCAAGAGATACTCCTAGCCCACCCTGTCCTCTGCCTCCTGTCAGTCTAGTTTAACCTATGGCTTCAAGAGCAGATCATGGGTCCCCACCTCTGCTCAACAGACCACTGGGACACAAGCACCTTCTGCCAAGCACACCCTCTTCTCCCTTCCCTCTCTGTCAGACCACCTCCGCATTCAGCTGACTTGAGTTCCTTGCTACTCCAGCCAAGGACAAGGGTGACTCTTGCCTCCCTTTTTTCCAGCACCATTCCCTAAGCTGGTAAATGCTGCTAGAATTGATTGAACTGCACCGGATAAAACATCCTCAAAATGGAATACTACTGGGGGAA